AGTTTGTTAGCTAGCAACAGAAACAAAAGACAGCCAACAAATTTAGAGCAGCAGCATTTCAGGAAAAGGCCCAGAACATTCCATTGGAATAGAATCAGGGAATGGCTGGTAGAAAAGATGAATCAGAAAACATCAGCTATGAAAAGGTCTTTGATCATCAGGACACCATGAAGCCTGCTTTCTTGGGAGCCAATGTCCCAGGATGGTGGATGAGCAGATCAGTGTCCCAGCAACATGACCTGAGATGATCCCAATGTTCCCTTGACCTCCCTCAAGACTCACTGGAGTCCTTGGCTTGCCACACTCCTCATCCTCCAATCTGCTCAGTGGTCCCTTTACACCCTAGCTTTTGCTGTATCTTGCCCTTGGCAGCACCCATGTGGGACCCATCACTGCCCAAGTGTTCCTTGTTGAGACTGATGTGGCTTATAAATTGAGAGATTGAAGTAACAGTCATTGTGCTGTAAGTTTCTTAAAAGTGTCCCAATTCCTGCTCTGTTTGTAAAGCCACCACATAATTTGCCAGGGCTTTCCTAATGGACAATGGAAGCTTATTGTGTCACTATTTTGGAAACTGCAAGTCTGAAATCAAGTCTTTCCATTGGCTTATAGAGGGCCCATCTGCTCCCTGTATCGTCTCATAATCTTGCCTGTGTATATCTGTCCTAGAGAACACTGGTTAGATTGCATGGGCTTGCTCATGTGTGCTCATTATAACCTAAGTCTTTAAAAACCCTATTTCCAAATATAGTTATATTCTGGGAATTCTATAGGTGTTCGAACACCAACATAGACATTTCTGGAGGGGATGCAAAGGAGTCCATAGCTGCTGCCATTTTCTACTGATAACTCTCTTCTCTTTCGGGAGTGCTATCACAGTATGTGTTCGTGTGTGTGTGTGTGTGTGTTTATAGACATGGTCTTATTTTTCCTTGGTAGATAAGTGGATCACTATTCATCTAGAAGACCTAAATTAATACAAGTGTGTGTTTGACCCCCTCTCAAGATGTCCTAGAACCCCTGGCTTCTCACACTCATCCTCAAGCTCTGATCCAGGGTCCCTTTATACCCGAGCTATAGCCTGTCTTTGCCTTGGCGGCACCCACATGCCTTCTCTAACACCCATGTGGGACCTGCTGCTACCCAAATATTCCTTGTTGATACTGATGTGGCATGTCAGCACTCAGATCAATGACAGCAAGGCTGCCTCACACTGAGTTGGCATCTGGAGATGCCAGTGTGACATATGTCTTGTAAGACGACGTGTGAGCTGGGGGTAGAGGCGGAGAGGTGATTGGCACATTTACAGTGGGGAGCTAATTCATACTGATGGAGAGAAACCTCGGAGGAGCTGAGTAATTTACTGTCTTCCTTCATCTGGTTTCCACACTGTGGCTGTGATAGCAAGGGAAGGATGGGCTTGACTCCAGGTGACTCTAAGAAGCTCTGGCTAAAGGACATGGGGTAGTATCACCCTCATTCTGGGTGGAGGCAGCCTTTCTCCCAAAGAGGCCAGATCCAGCAGATGATCCAGTGTGTAATGAATTGCTGTGTTGATCAACAGAGCCCAGACCCCCTGGTTGCTTCTGCAAACTAAGGCAGGAAGGGGTTGCTGCTGCCAGAGTATCTGGAAGTGAAACTAGGTCTGAGAGCCATGTGGGTGGGGGAAGGAGGAGGGAGAAGATACAACTTCTGACATCCATGTGCAAATGACTGTGTGCACACTCAGAGTTCTGCAGCTCTTGGGCTTGGTTCCAAAGGCACCAAGAGTAGTGATAAGCACTCTGGAGGGAACCGCTGCATGGCATTTAGAACTGTGGCCCTCCCTCCCCCACACACCCTCTGCCATTGGGAAGCCTCCTGCTCGCCAAGGCAACTTGTGGCTCTCACCCAGCCTGTGTTTTCTGCTGCCTCAGCTACCTTGGCTAACCCTTGCCTCACCCTGTGCTGCACAAGAGGAGAGTTTTAGCATCTGTCTTCTTCTCAGGACTCCCTTAGCAATTTCATTCTACCTTGAAGGACTGGCTACCTAGGTCTTCTCCCACTCCCATCTTGCTGAGACCATCTGGTCTGTATTTCCAAGAAGAGGATTGCTTAGATAGATGGGCCTCAGTCTCGGCTACCTAGGATGAGGGTAACCTAGAAATACAGTGCGCGAGAGAAGGCAGGTCAAGTGCCTGGGCACAAGCTTCACGACCGAACTGTCATTCCCAGCACCTCCATAAGAGAGGCCAGGAGTGGCATGAACTTGTGATCCCAGCACAGAGAAGGTGAGGAGGAAGATGTCTGGGCTTGCTTGCTGACCAGCCTCGCTGAAGCAGAGATCCTCTATCTATCAGGGACAGACTCTGCCTCAAAAACTAGGGTGGAAAGTGACTCCTGAGGAACAGTGTTCAAAGTGGATGGATCCATGGCTAAACCTTCCTCCATCCCACCAACACACACACACACACACACAGACACACACACACACACACCAAAAAAGAAAATCAGGCAGACATGGGAAGATTTATTAACCCCCTCCACCCCGGACCGTGCCCCCCCCCCCCAGACCTATTAAAAGGGAATCTACGGGCTAGAAACTGGACATTGTCATTTTTTTTTTAAGTTGTATTTTATTCTCTCACTCAGAATAGTTTCTCTTCTGACCCCACAGAACTTTGTGTGGACTGCTTGAGAAATCTGATGTTTTTAAGTGTGGCTTAAGAACTAGACAATGAAGCCATGGGGCTTGGAGCCAAGTTTGCCAATCTCCCCTTATCCGATTTACCCCCACCCAGGGTTTCTGTGTGTCACCCTGGGCTGTCCTAGAACTTGTTCTGTAGACCAGGCTGGCCTCAAACTCAGAAATCCACCTGTCTCTGCCTCCTGAGTGCTGGGTTTAAAGGCGATTGTCACCATCACCACCATCACTGGCCAATTTTTCCTCATCTTTGAGATGGGCCTGCAAGCTTAATTCTAGTACATTCCAAGGATGTTTGAGAACTAATAGTGAGTCAAAAACTAGCTATTGCAGTGAGTGCTCAATAAGACCTCTGAACAACGGGTGTGTAATTCATAGGTTTCTGCCCACACATGGATCCCCTAGAGTGCTGGCTTCAAAATCACCACCAGGCCTCCTTCTAGGCTCTGTAATCCCAAAGTCTTGCAGGTGGGGACGAGCCTGGCTCTCTGAGAAGCTTCAGGCAGTGCACTTGATGCTGGTCTGAGGACTCAACTGTAAGTCATGGATGAATCCACACCTGTTTCTTTCCCACTCTGCCTCAGCACAGGGAGCTCCTAGAAGCCAACTTTAGATCCGTGCTGACTCTAGACTTCAGACACTGTTCCCCAGCAGCCAACAGGGTTCAATTATTAACCTAACTCCATGGCTTTTCATACTCTAGGCTAGAATCCAACTGTCCCTCACATGCCAAAGCAGAGCTTCTAAGGATTGAGATGACTTTTGTTTGTTGGGTTTTTTGAGACAGGGTTTCTCTGTAGCTTTGGAGCCTGTCCTGGAACTAGCTCTGTAGACCAGGCTGGTCTTGAACTCACAGAGATTGGCTTGCCTCTGCCTCCCGAGTGCTGGGATTAAAGATATGTGCCTCCACCGCCCAGCTCTGAGACGATTTCTACAGCAAATATACTTCAAATTCAACCCAGTCTCTGCATAGTCAGCACCCAGAAGGCCTTAAGTTAGTAGCCATAACATTGCATAAACTACCAAGACCACACAAGGCTTGCCTATTGGGCCATACTAAGGGCTTAGCATCCCAAATCCAAAGACCTGACCCTTGAAAGGCTCTAAAACCCAAGTTTCTTGGTCACAAGCATGACACCACAAACGGGAAAAATTCACATCATATAAATTGATGTCATGTACAAAATTATTTCTAAAACTCTAGTATAAGATTACCTTTGATCTAGTTTTAAGAAGTGAACGTACAAATTCAATAAATTTTGTGTTTGTACACTAGAGTCCTATCCCCATTATGTGTCAATATTCCAAAATCTGGACAAAGAAATCATCAATCTTGTGCCAGTCATTTTGGATGATGGGCCTTCAAGCTTACCTGAGTGAAAGCGATCCTGCTTCTCTATTGCCTTACCTCACAGGCCTCACAGAACTCAGCAGCTGCCAGAGCTCTGGGCCTTCCTGCATCCTGTCAGTTAAGTCCCTCCAATTGTCAGATTGCCTCTGTAAGGCCATCAGGCAGGTCCTGGAAGGGGATGGGGGGAAGGAGGGTGCTGCACTGGCTTCACACTGAACAGGGCTCATGACCCTCATTATGGCCTTCTTAGTGTGTGTGTGTATGTGTGTGTGTGTGTGTGAGAGAGAGAGAGAGAGAGAGAAAACATGCATGTACGTGGGTATGTGCGTGCCTGTATGTATGTGTGAAGGCCACAACTTTATTGTGTGAGTGTCTCTCACTGAACCCAGAGCTCACAAACTGACTATGCTGACAGGCCAGGGAATTCAGGGGTCCACCCATCTGTCCTCACCCCGCAGTGCTGGGGTTACAGATACATGCTACACCATACCTGCTTTTACACAAATGCTGGGGATCTGAACTCAGGTCCTCATGATGTAAGGCAGCCACTCCACTGACTTGAGTTGTACCACCGCCCCCCCCCCAGGTGGTGTCTTATCTGGGACAGGCCTCATGGCCATGGGACCATTGTGCTTGGCCCCTCACCCTGAGCCAAACGTTTGTTTCTTACCTCTGTGCAGCCACACTATACACCTCATTACATTCTCCATTTTGTTTCCATTTTAGCTGAAAGCCATTAGACTAAATACTGTACACATTATTATCCTGTAAATGAATTTCCTCAATCAGTCTTAGTGTGTAAGGTCAAGGCCCAATGAGCTGGAATCCTAGCCCTTGAATTGGCTTTCCACCCAAACAACACTCCTTCTCGAATCAACACAGCTCCCAGCGGGTTGCAGTTTTATACCCCTGAAGAATGTATTAATTAAAGCCAATGTAAATGCTCATTTGTTGTAATGAATTTAGCTCTTGCAGGCTGTTTTCTTTGGGGTCGCCTGCCTGGATGATGTGCTGAAAAGAATCATAGGAAGGAAAGACATCAAGTTCATCACATCCGTCAGAGATCTACTTTTTACCACATTGGTTTTTCCAATATCCGCAGTAAGTGCCCAAATGTGTGTCTGACAGCATAGGCGTGGAACAGCAAGGTTGCCTGGGGACTTGTTATTACAACCAGAACATCTCCATTTCCATAAATGTTCTGTGGGGGAACTGACTGCATCGACCAGTGTTTTCAGGAAGGAGGGCACATGACAGATGAACTTACCATTAACTTTCTGTCTTTGTGAAGGTTTTATGCCTGATCCTTGTTGCTGCCTGATGGGGAAAGTTTAACCAAAATACAACTTTAAAAAGTGTTTGTGGATTTTGCACCCACAAATTCAACTAAGGATCCAATATATTTGACAAATTAATAAAACTCAAACTAAAATACTTTTAATAGCCATGTAACATTTACACACACAAGGCAATTTAACACGCACAAGAGGGTATACACGGGTCCTAGACAAGTGTGATCCCTTTGCATATACAGGACTTGAGCATCTGTGGATTGGAGCGTCCTTATGAATGCTAAGGGATGACTGTGTCAGTGGCACAGCCTCGCTTCCATCATGATGGTGGGAAGGAGAGTCCTGGGTGCAGAAGGTGATTCCCTGTCTAGACATTCAGAAAGCTATTAAATGCAAAGCCTGTAAAAATTAAAGGACTTAAGACCTTCACCGAAAAGACATATTACACAGAGCACAGGGTGGATGCTCATTCACTGTGTCTGATGGACAGAAACCAGGAAAAGCAAACGATGAACACAGACGTAAGCTTGTGTGTTGGTGATGCCCACATTGCTATTACATTGTTTGTGCTTCCGCTCATTAGCTGGAATGGAAACAGACTAAGGCCCTACTAAGACCCTAGCTGTGCAGCAGGGCCTGGAAGTAGAAATCACTACCTTATTCCCCCCACTGCGGCCCTGCTTTCAGTGACATGGAGACTCAAAACTAAGTGCAGAGTGAAAGTTTGTCCCTCCACTGAGTTCTCAGATGGCACAAACACTTAGCATTCCTGGTTTCTTTGTGAAATACCTCCACCTCCACTCTCAGAAAATCTTCGGAAGTTCAAGATATCAAAAGGAATAATGGAATCTGTTCATTTTTCTTGCAAAAGGAGCCTATGCATGTTCAAACGGTAGTGTGATGAGAGAATATATAGCCCACTCCCATCATCTTAGCACAGACCATAACACAGAGGGCAGATGCTGGGATAGGACATACCAGGGGTACAGCAGACACAAGTAAATCCCAAATTCTGAGCAATAGAGAGATCCAACGCTTGCTTTGTAGCTTATAAATGATCTGGTGCTAAGCCCTACTCCAAGCTTTCCTATTGTCCTTTGTCATGACTACTTAGAGGGAGGAGGGGGCAAGGAGCATATGCTAAGCCATTCCATGTGCTCATTCTCAGCATTCTTGGTCTGAGCTCAGATGAGAATGAAGGGCTTGTGGTCTATGCATCCTTTCTTAACTGTGTCCTCTCTGCATGCCACGATGGCTGCCATTGCTTTCTAACACATTGCCCTCATTGGAGAATCTCCCAGCGAGCCAGGAGACAGCTGTTAAACAATAAGCATTTCCCCTTTTGTTTTATGCCCCTAAATTGTATATACAACATCCTTGTAACTGCCATCAGTTTTTATGTTGCTGTTTCCTCAGTTAGCCTGGAAACCTCTGATGAAAAACAAATCTAATGGTAGTATTTTTATGTTTCCCTTCCAGTTTGTATTCTTGGTATTCTGGACCCTCTTTCACTATGATAGAAATCTCATTTACCCCAAGGGCCTGGACGATTTCTTTCCAGCATGGGTTAATCATGCAATGGTGAGTACAGAAAATTAATGAACACAAACACCAGCGGCTTCTGTACTGAAAACTAAAGTGCCTGTGTATGTTTCTAAAGTCTTCTACAAGGCCCTCCAGTTCAGTCTTGTTTCTCCATCCTGTCACTATTTAAAAAGCATCCTGAGGGCTGCCAGAGAGATAGATGTTTCAGTGGTGAAAGGTACCAGAGGCCTGGGGTTCAGTTCCCAGAACCAACATGGTGGCTCACAACCATTTATAACTATAATTCCAAGGGATCTGATGTCATCTTCTGATCTCCATGGGCACCAGGCATGCATGTGGTACTCATCCATACATGCAGGCAAATGCTGACATACTCAGAATAAGAACAAGCAAATTTTCATATAAAGCATACTGATGATATAGATGAACAAAATCTGGTATTGCAGCAAAGGGGGGTCTACTGAAAGCAAACATGAAGGACTAAATAGTTGTCATTGCTTGGGAAAATCAATTAAAAGTTATGCTACCAGGAAAGGCAACCTTTGGCAGTTCTGAAAAAGCAGTGACTTTTGCCCATGACTAATAATGAAGTTCATTTCCAGGAATGGAATAAAGGAAGGTTTAAACAAAATCTATCTCCATGTCCAAATAATATGTTACTACTCCAAAGGGCAATGCAGTGGCTAGCCGCAAAGATTCCTCCAGGACTGTGCGTCACAAACAGGATTAGTATTTAAATGTTTCAGTGTGGTTTATCCAGGATTTTTCATTGGCTTCTGTTTTGAAAACAACCTGCCCTGAAATGTTCTGGTCACTGGAGTCTGAAGAGTAGGCTGTGACCCAGACGAGCAGGACTGAGCAAGGTGTCCAGGTCTCCACTGCAGAGCCTGAGTCCTTAGAGCTGGTAGTATTGTCTCCCTGGGCGATCCTAGCTCAGCTGCTCCACACTGACAGGGTGTGTTTCCACATTACTGGGCAGTTTAAAGGGGGAAGATGTCAGGTTCCAGGAAGTGAGACATACAAAACAGGAGACCTCGTAAGGGCTTAAGACTTCCAAGTTTACCCAAAGACTTTCTTTAGCTCTTCAAAGCTCCCATTGTCTCAAAATGCGTGACAATCGATGTAGAAGAGTTTTGCTTGCCTGCTAATGCTACCCTATGGACCCCATGCCCAGAAAATGGTTTCAATATTTTGCTGAGAGAGGTATTGACTATTGGCTGAGTTCTGTGCTCCAGTTTCCTCACGGCCCCCTCCCACGTGTTAAATAGTCCCCTGCGTCCAGTGTCTCCCTAGTTTTTATTAATATTCTTCTGGGATGCCTTCATAGAGGATGCTCCCAATGTGGGTGGGTGGGTGCTATATATGTGTTCATTTATATGTACCTGTGCATGCAGGTGTGTGTGTGTGTGTGTGTGTGTGTACATGTGTGTGCATGCCTGTGGCAGCCAGAGATTGATTTTGAGTGTCTCTGTCATCACTCTCTGTCTTATTTTTAAGATAGAGTCTCTCATGTAACATGGAGCTCACTGATTTAGTTGGCCTGACTATCCAATAAGTTTCTAGTTTCTAGGGACCCTCCCACCCAGACCCCTGCTGAGGTTACAGCCACCTTGTCCAGCTATTATGTTCTTGCCTAGCAGCCAGGCTTAGATTCTCAAGCTTGTAGAGCAAGCTCTTTACCATCTGAGCCATTCCCAGCCCTCAATTTTTTTTAATGTCATTATTACAACTGTGTAAAACATGTTCCTCAAATATGAGCTGATTTAATTCACAGTCCTTCTTTAGATAAGCACCACAACTTTGAGTTTTACAAATGAAAAAATAAAATAGCTCAAAGGCCACATCATCTGCCTGGGGTCAGCATCACCCATGGCTCATCCAGGGTGAAACCCTTGTAATCCCACGCTAATTCACTGTTGCCTTTCACCAGAACTTGTGCCCTGATGCAGCCTTTCATTTCACCAGAAAAATCAAAAGGAATAAATATGGCAAAGTGAAAATTTTTCACTTAGAAAAAAATCCAGACTCCCATCTTATGCCAATAAACCAAGCCTTGGAGAAAGTGAGGGGACAGGAAGCATGCACCCACTGGGGGCTGGATGCTACTGCCATCGTTTAAGAAGCAAAGTCTTGAAATCCCTTCCCATCTGGAGCCAAACACTTTTACCAAGCACACTCTCCAGGCTTACTGAGCTCAGCTGTTTTTCTTACAAGGACTACCAGCTCCCTCCCTCCTTGAATCCCACTCTCTATGCTCACGCTTGGATATCTTCCAGTGAGTTGTGATGGTGATGCCCAATCCTAGTGACCTTGATAAGTAAACAGCCATATGGATGGTTGATCATTTGGGAAATGAAGAGCTGGATAATAATGTACATCATATCCATGAGCCAATTATTAATGAATAGTGAGGCAGATACTGTCGCCTGGAGATGCTTAAGTATTTTTGTGCCTGCACAACCTGGAAAGGGGGGTGTTAGTGATTCTGCCCCTTGCTCTTTAATTGTTGTCGTCTCCATCCTTTAGGAAGATCAGGCAAGAGTCATAGGAGATAGGAGGGCTGGATTATGGGAGAAAAGGAGGAGGCAGCCTGGCATGAGTTAGACACTGATGTTTCCATGTTTCTCTTCACTTAATTGGAGAAAATTCCTGCATAGCCATGTCAGAAACAAAATAGAAATAAAAAACCACTATCAGCTAACCCACTCTGAGTTTCCCAATGAAACTACCTCCAAATATGCTGCTTCTCATCAACGCTGGCTGCAAATTGAATGTTCCTGGCTGCATCTTTTCCCTTTACTCCAGACTATTGCTTACTCCAGATATTTTCTGTCTTTACTATTAATCCTTCTAGCCTGATGCTTCAAGGATGCTCTTTGTCAAATTCTCATTCAATGGCAGTTAAGGGCTAGAGAGATTGCTTAGTCAGTAAAGTTCTTTCTGGACAAAAATGCGGGCCCAAGTTCCATGCCTTGCTCCCACATAGAAGAAAGGCTGTTCCTGTAATGCCAGGTGGATTCCTGGAGTTCATTGCCAACCAGCTTAGCTGATGAGACAAGCTCTGGGTTCAGTGATACATTGTATCTCAAATTAAAGGAAGTGGTGTGCTGGCTAGTTTTAGGTCAACTCAACAGGAATTTTGGTCATCTGAGAGGAGGGAACCTTGAGTCAGAAAATGCCCCCATAAAATTGGGCTAGAGGCAAACCTATGGACCATTTCCTTGATTAGTGATCAACGTGGGAGAGCTCAGCCCTTGTAGGTGGTAGCATCCCTGAACTGGTGGTCTTGGGTTCTATGGGAAAGTAGGCTGAGCAAGCCATGAGGAGCAAGTCAGTAAGCAGCACCCCTCCATGGCCTCTACATCAGCTCCTGCCTCCAGGTTCCTGCATTGGCTTGATTTCCTGTTCTGACTTCTTTCAACTATGAACGGTGATGTGAAAGCATAAGCTAAATAAACTCTTCCCTCCCCAAGCTGTTTTTAGTCATGGTGTTACATCATAGCAATGGTAACTCTAAGACAAGTGGAGGGGCAATGAGAAAGAAGCCTAATAGTTACTTCTAGCTTCCATGTGCATATGCACAGTGTATGTTCTCATGCATGCATCTATAGGAATGTGTATGTATGTCTATGTACACATAGACCCTCCACACCACCCCCCCAAATTCAAAATATTACATAGGGATGGAGAAATAGCTAATCCAGTAAAGTGTTTTTCACACAAGCATAGGGACCTAGTCAGATCCCCAGACCCATGTAATAAAACCCGCATGCTACAGCACGTTTGTAATCCCAGGGCTGGAAAGACAATGACAGGAAGATTCCTGGAGCTTGTAGATCAGCCAGTCTAGCCAACCAGTGAGCTCTGAGAGACCCTAACACAAAGAACTAAGGTGGAGAATAATCAAGGAAGACAATACTGTATTGACCCCTGACTTCCATTCACATGCACTAACAGGTGCACACACACACGTGCGCGTGTGCATGCACACACGTGTGCAAGTGTGCCAGGCATGCTGAGAGAAGATGAAATAAAATGAGAATGAGAGATGTGGGGGGGGAGAGAGAGGTAGTTAATTGGTGCTAAAGTTCATATGTAGAGTGGTCTCCAAAGACCTGAGTTTTAATGCCTGGGCCCCAGGGCCTTTCTCTTGGCAAAGGGTGATACATTGAGGAGATGGGTACCAGAGGGAGGCCTTGGAGTTACTGGTGAGCATTCTCTTATAAGGGATTTTGCAACCCCAGCTTCTGTCCTTTTTCTTCTGGCTATGGGGTAGAGGTAAGAGATTGTATGTCTCCGTGTGCTCCCTGGCATGCTATGCCAATTTTCCATGGGTCCAAAATGAAATGGTCATCTAAAGGACCCACTGCAGCTCTGCACCCCTTTTATCTTCAGACGCTGTCATCTTAGGCATTTTGTGCAGCAATGGGACGCTGTCTAGCCTACTGGGTCAGCTTGTCACAACATCCCATTTCACCAGTGCCCTTCTGAGATGACCTGAAGAATACGATTCAGTGCTGGGAAGTTGGGACCAGAGGGATGATGGCAGTCTCATGGACATTTGGCCTAAGTGCTTCTGTGTCTGCCATATAATTTTAACTGGCATCACCAGAACCCTGTGCTACTGGAAGTTCCCTTTACAGCCTCCCTTCTTCTGACTTGTTGCGAACCTTTTTTTTTTTTTTTTTTGGTAATAGTTTTCTTGTCCTTATCTGCATCCCCGGTTTTGTGGCACTCTCCTCTGACGCTACATTCCAAATGCTTCTGGACTGAGTCCTTGTGATCTTGCTGCCCAATGCTTCTGGCTGACTGGAAATTTGTTGTTCCTGTAGGACCCTTCAGTGCTGACTGTCATTGTTGCATTCAACAGACATTTCCCTATCCCTGTTACATTTTCAATCCAAATAGTGACCTCAGAGGGATGTTCGCATCTGCACAGACAGGCTGCCTGAGCTGGTGACAGCCTGGCTGCCTTGGGTGAAGGAGATCAACGAGATTTTGTTATTGCTGAGCAGTCCTCTGGCCTTCATAAAAGA